TGTAAGCATAGAAGGCATTAAAGCTGAAGTTTAAAGAAAATGTTTTATCTGTGATTTATACATGCAGCTGAGAATGCTTTTAACCAGAGGAGGAGGGAGATTCATTGTCATTTGATGAGGAGCGGCTTCTCTTCCAGAGCTGGCAAGAGAGGGAGAGGGAGAAGAAGAAGCATGGGTCTGGTGTGCTTGATGGGCTTGGGAAACTGTGTGTGTGTTGAATGCTATTTACAGTCCTGATGAAGGAACAAATTGCGAAACAATTGAGAAACAATGAGTTGTTCCAGTTTTATGTTTCCTATTTCTTTGGGCAGTGGGGTCTAATATGTTAAGTATTTCTGACCTGGCATCATCATGCTTTCATCTCTGCAGTGGGACTAATGTGTAATTTGCAGGGGATTTTGATGAATACACGAGTTTGAGAAAATGGGGAGTGGAGGGCTTTAAATTTGTCAGTGGTGTGGCTGGGAGGTTGATTTCCTGTCATATTTAGGGATGTCTGTGCGTGTGCCAAATCAGGAAAGGAGCCCCAGGTCACTGTAGCAGTGAAGTGGTGGAAAAAGTGTAAGCTGTCCTCCCTCTTGTCAGGTCTGCATGAGCACCCTCCCCAGCACCACCTCGGCTATCTAGACCAGGCCTCAGCGAGCTCACGGTGAAGGGCTAGCTGTTCAGCACTTTAAGCTTTATGGGCCCTGTTGTCCCCATCCCAGCCACTCAGCTCTGCCCTCGTACTGCGGAAGCAGCCACAGACAGCCCATGAGCGCATGGGCCTGGCTGGGTTCTACTCAGACCTTATTTGTAAAACCAGCTGGTGGGCCGGTGGCCTGCAGGCCATAGTTTGTGGACCCCTTGGCCAGACTCACAGATAGTTTTTGTATAGTGTACTGGAGCCGAGAATGGTCATTACTTTTTTAAGGGTTATATGAAAAGAAGACTGTCTGACAAAGGCCATATGTAGCCAGCAAGCCTCAAATGTGTGCCGGCCAGCCCGCTTCTGGCCTTGCTTGTGGGAACCATCCAGCCCCGCGAGCTGTGGGGAAGCTGGGAAGGGAGCGTTTGAACCCTTGGGCCTCTTAAATCTTCTGATGTAGAATCAGAATGCGTAAGCCTGTCTTCCACGAAATCTTTCAGCTTTAAAGGGGGCTAGTCTTTGGCTTTTTCTGTACCGTCCCCTTGCCTGTTCTGACCCTTAGCAGAACTTGACCCCGTCAGCTTCTGTGGGACACATGAATGACACTTGGTGCTCTCATTTGCCTTCCAGTCTCTGTCGCTACTAAGTTTGCAGTCTTTTGAGAGCAGGAACTTGGTTTTAATTCATTGTTTGTCCCCCAAGTTCTTAGTACATAATAAGGCCAGTGGGTACCTGGGTAAATGGATGTCATTAGTGTTAATCCCTACTGAAGCTGTACTAGTGTTCTTACGGTCTGTGGAACTGCTTTTAACTTTTAACTGTCTAAACAGTAAAATAACCCTTGGAGGCGTCTGCAGTGGAACCAAGTGTGCTCTTGGTGAAGTATCTGAGTTTTGTTTAGTGTGACCCAAACTCTCACAGAATCTCCATGGCCCTTGAATTAGGATCAGGGGTGTACCTTCAGGGGTGGGGGGTGAGGAGCTGATGGGGTGCTTAGTGCCGGTCAGGAGCTGTTGTGGGTGTTTCACTCACAGCGTTAATTCTCAAGACACCTGAGAGACCCACGGGTTGTCCCTGCGGCTGACGAGCTGAGAGGCTGTGAGTGAGGACACTGCTTTGTGAAAATCCAAGTGAAAAGCATTGTACCTCCCAGGATTGCTGTGGGGATTCAATAATTTACTGTCTGCCAAGACTGTAGGCAGTCCCCAATGGAGGTATAAGTGTCAGCCTTTTCTTTGTTTTGCTGTTCCTGCTCACTCTTTTTTAGATACACTGATAGTAAGCAGTTTGCCCCTTTGTTGTCAGGTTGTTAATAAGTAATAAGGCCTTTGAGGTTTTAAATCACTCTTCCAACCACCAAGGTATCCTGACTACTGTGAAGCTGGTCATTTACATTAAAAAGATGTAAGTTTTGCCAAATTACAAAGACAGACTTTTGGAGAGTAGTGTGGCAAAATGTACCAAGGGCCGTGAAAACATTCCTGTTCTTTAATCCAGGAATCTAGGCTTTACAAGGAATACAGTGCAGGGAAATTAAAATCACAAGAGTATGTGAAGATGGTAATAGAGAGAAAGAAGAACCATTCAGAAATACAGGGATGCTTTTTTGCAGCAGGCTCACCGAATGAAGCAAGAGCAGTATAGTGGGGAAACGCAGAAAAACTGCCCCAGCATGCATACATGGGACTCTGTTTTAAAAATAAATAAATAAATTTATTTATTTATTTATTTTTGGCTGCACTGGGTCTTCGTTGCTGCACGTGGGCTTTCTCTAGTTGCGGCAAGCGGGATTCTCATTGCAGTGGCTTCTCTTGTTGCGGAGCACAGGCTCTAGGCGCAGACTTCAGTAGTTGTGGCACACGGGCTCAGTAGTTGTGGCTCGTGGGCTTAGTTGCTTCGTGGCATGTGGCATCTTCCTGGACCAGGGCTCGAACCCATGTCCCCTGCATTGGCAGGCAGATTCTTAACCACTGTACCACCAGGGAAGTCCTGTACATGGGACTCTTAAGAAAGAAAGCCGTACATGGAAGCAACCTAAATGTCCATCAACAGATGAATGGATAAAGAAGATGTGGCACATATATACAATGGAATATTACTCAGCCATAAAAAGAAACGAAATTGAGTTATTTGTAGTGAGGTGGATGGACCTAGAGTCTGTCATACAGAGTGAAGTAAGTCAGAAAGAGAATGAAACAAATACTGTATGCTAACACATATATATGGAATCTAAGGGGAAAAAAAGGGGGTCATGAAGTACCTAGGGGTAAGACGGGAATAAAGACACAGACCTACTAGAGCATGGAGGGGGAAGGGTAAGCTGTGACAAAGTGAGAGAGTGGCATGGACGTATATACACTACCAAACGTAAAATAGCTAGTGGGAAGCAGCCGCATAGCACAGGGAGATCAGCTAGGTGGTTTGTGACTACCTAGAGGGGTGGGATAGGGAGGGTGGGAGGGAGGGAGATGCAAGAGGAAAGAGATATGGGGACATATGTATATGTATAACTGATTCACTTTGTTATAAAGCAGAAACTAACACACCATTGTAAAGCATTTATACTCCAATAAAGATGTTTTAAAAAAAAGAAAGCAAGCCGCAAAGTGGGCGGATGGGAGGGAGGAGGGAGGGAGAACTGTAGCTACCTTGGGGCAGGAACTGTGGGATTTTTTTCTCTTTTGTTTTCCTTTTTTTTTTTTGCTGAACATTGTAACATGGTAACACTTTTTTAAAAAGAAACTTTTTTTTAAATTAAAGTGCTTCAACTTAGGATATCGTGTTGTTATGTGAAACAACTTTTTAGGTCATTAATTGGGGGAAAAAGAGGGAATGGCCATGATCTACTGGAAGGCAAAACAACTGTAGTCAGTGGTTAGGCAGGCATAGGCCCTATCCCAGCATTCTCCCTCGGGCTGCTCCAGAACCAGCCTTGGTGATGACTCTGCAGGCGTCACCCCCTAAAGAGGTGGAGACTCTGGGTGAAGTTACTTTGGTGTAGATTATGTGCTTCAAAAAAGTTAAGGGGAGGAAATGCTAACAGCAAAATAGGTTTTCCCAAAACTTCATGTATTCGCAACTTTCCAGAACACTTCTTAGGTGAAGAGAGACCTCTGTACTTCTCTTGCAGAAGGGGCATTCCAGATGGGGTGTTGCTGAAGAGAAGGGAGACAGTGCTTTTCTTTTTCTTTACTTTTTAAAAAATATTTATTTATCTATTTATTTATTTTTGGCTGTGTTGGGTCTTTGTTGCTGTGCACATGGACTTTCTCTAGTTGCAGAGAGCGGGGATTACTCTTCGTTGCGGTGCACAGGCTTTGCGGAGCACGAGCTCTAGGCGTGCAGGCTCAGTAGCTGTGGCACATGGGCTTAGTAGCTCCACAGCACGTGGGATCTTCCTGGACCAGGGCTCGAACCTGTGTCTCCTGCATTGGCAGGCGGATTCTTTTTTTTTTTTTTTGCCGTACACGGACCTCTCACTGCTGTGGCCTCTCGCGTTGTGGAGTACAGGCTCCGGATGCGCAGGCTCAGCAGCCATGGCTCACAGGCTCAGCCGCGCCACAGCATGTGGGATCTTCCCGGACGGGGGCACGAACCCGTGTCCCCTGCATCGGCAGGCGGACTCTCAACCATGGCGCCACCAGGGAAACCCCGGCAGGCGGATTCTTAACCAGTGTGCCACCAGGGAAGCCCGGGACAGTGCTTTTCTAACCGACTCTAGGTGGTTCCGGGTGTGCGGGGTAGACTCACAGGGGGGCTCCGAGAGCGGGTGGCCAGGGGTGTGATGCTTAGGTGAGAGCTCTTGCGTCTGAGCTTTTCCATGAAAATTTTCACGTTTTCATTTTGAGGCTCAGATGATGATTCCTGTACAAGATGCAGTATGGGTGTGTTTTTTAACATTATAATGCAAGTATATACTCCCTTTTCTGGTTTTTATATTTTGAGCGGCACAGAGGCCTTTTTCATCTCTCTGGGTGCCCGGGGAAGTGTGCAGGGTGCACGCCCTAGATTAGGACCAGAAGGAAGAGTATGTGGTGGTTGTGATGGGCCTAAGGAAGGAGGCAGCTGAACTTACTGGGGATTTAAAAATAATTTTAAAAATTCAGACCAGGTATCTGTATATGTAAACAAAAGCTTCCTGTGAAACAGAGATATGTGGGAGGGGTGCTATGCATCTAACATTAATATTCAGGATATTAACTTTGATTGCATTACAAACTACAGAGGGTAAAACAGTGCGACAGGACCTTCTTAATGACTGAGAATATGGAGAGGGAAGTAATTTGTTATTGAGTTAATTGGTTTATTTTAAAAGTTTGGCAAACACTGGTATAGAGTAAGATTTTTCTCTTAATTTTCTCTCTCTCTGAAGGTATCCGAGCCCACCAATGGGATCTGTATCAGCACCCAGCCTGCCTACAGCAGAAGAAAATCTGGAATATGTACGAACTCTCTATGATTTTCCTGGGAATGATGCCGAAGACCTGCCCTTTAAAAAGGGTGAGATCCTGGTGATAATAGAGAAGCCGGAAGAACAGTGGTGGAGTGCCCGGAACAAGGATGGCCGGGTGGGGATGATTCCCGTCCCTTATGTGGAAAAGCTTGTGAGGTCCTCGCCACACGGAAAGCATGGGAATAGGAATTCCAACAGTTACGGGATCCCAGAACCTGCTCACGCGTATGCTCAGCCTCAGACCACGGCTCCTCTGCCTGCAGTTTCCAGCACTCCTGGGGCAGCGGTCAGCCCTTTGCCATCCACACAGAATGGACCTGTCTTTGCAAAAGCAATTCAGAAAAGAGTGCCCTGTGCTTATGACAAGACCGCCCTGGCATTAGAGGTAAAATCTACTAAGGCTGGTTCTTTGGGTCCTTTGACACTCAGTTTTTGTTCTCTTTGGCCATGGCTTGCGGGGATCTCAGTTCCCCAACCAGGAATTGAACCTGTGCCCTAGGCAGTGGAAGCACGGAGTCCTGACCACTGGACTGCCAGGGAATTCCCTAAAAATGCATATTTTTAGAAGAATGGTCCCATATATTTTTGTGTGTTATTTTTTTACTGATGTATAAATTTATATAAATTACATAAGTGAGGTGGGCCCTAAATATTATTGTATTAGAATATGGGATTTGGTACCACAGTTCCCTGCTCTTTCGTTTATTGATAACTTATGAAAATGGTTTGTGAATCACACATTGCAATGTAAGTATCATTATGAGTACGGTTTTATACTGTTTCTTAGTATCATTACATCACATGTGTGTTAGAGAAACTGAGATTAAGTTATTGCTTGTTGCGCGTGTGTTCACCCTGAGGTCACAGTAGGGCAGAGCTGGAGGCAGCCCAGGTGCATGGCAGGAGGATGAAGTCATGGGGCCTGTTGCTTCAGAGCAGCCTGCCCTCAGATTCAAAGGGAGCTGTGATTTTTGTGTGTTTTTTTTCACTGGTTATCCTCAGGTTTATTTCGACCAAGAGTAATACCCAAGTGAACTACACCTGGAGGTTTGGTTCAGAGTCTGAGGTTACTTCTCCCTCTCATGTTGGCTCTAAGGAAAGAGCATCTGAGGCGGGGACCAGGGCTGGGGAGGACCTGGTGCTTTTATACTTCACAGTGGAAGAACAGAAAGGGAACCAGAGAGGCTCCCTCCACAGATGGAGGCCTGGCTCAGTAGGCCTGCTGGCCTTCTCATTCCCACAGACCTGCCCCTGCACGTACACACCTCAGCACCCTAAAATAACTTGGGGTGTTCTGGGCTCTAAATACCTTCCAGTTTGCTTAGTGGTTTCAGGCTCTGGGAGCACTTCCACATCTCTGGTCTCCTCATGGGAGTGGGGAGCTAGGATTTAGAGTTGTGTTATGCAGCTGATGGTTGGCACACCAGGGTGAGATCCTGGGGGTCCAGGCTCCCAGTCAGAATTCCAAGCCCCTTAAAGGAAGTCAGGAAGTGGGTTCTTACCTAAGCCAGGATTTAAAGCCTCACTCCCTTTAGGACGCCTGTGTGTTGACTTCTGGCTCTAAGATGTGTGGTTTAGAAACCCCTGTCTCCCATGTGTGTTCTTTGGAGTGTGCACAGGGGTTTGTAGAGGGGATCACTCAGAGCTTGGGGAGTGGATACAAAGCTGGGTGCCTTAGGGAGGCCGGGGTGAGGAGAAGGAGCCTGGTTCGTGAAGCATATTTGAAGATAACCCATCTTCTCGGCATTAACACTGCTCTTCTAGCCTCAGGCCCCAGAGACAGGTCTCCACACCTGAGCCTCCTCGTGACACCAGCCCAGCCATGACACCAGCCCAGCTGTGTCAGCCTCGTGAAAGGCTGCCTTAGGTGATTAGTGTTAGTGGACCCAAGAAATAGACCTTTGCCAAATTCCACTTCATGGTATTTCCTGTGCTGTGTGTTTAAATGAGACTTTCAGCTATGCCATAAATAAGTATGTCTGTGAATTATGTTATCTTCTAAAACTGATGCCTGTCGGATCTTGTTAAAAACAGTCCCCTCTTGGGACTGTTGCAATTAGGTTACCAGGAAAAGTATTAAAATTAAAATAAGAAAGGTGAGACAAGTAGGAGAAAATGTGCCAGTAATTGAAGCTTCATTATTCCCCTTGAGATGGTGTTACAAAGTGAGGATGGTTCAGGTGAACTTTACTTTCTGAGTTAGTTCACAAGGTTTTTTCATAAAACTTGAGTTTTGAAAGAACATTCCTGCACGCGAAGAGATATTTTAAGAGAGGTCTTTGTTTAGACACTTTGCTCTCTTGCTTACCTCTTTTTAGGAAACGAGTTTATCCTTGGGATTTGGTTTGAAAGGGGAGCCTCCTGTGCCCTTGGTGGAGCAGGGCTGGAAGGGCTCCTGGGAAGCAGGGGTGTTCTCAGGTGGTGGGGAGTGGCGAAGGCCTTTCCAAAGGTAGATCGTTGGCAGAAGAGAATGTTTGGAGCAAGGGTGCTGTGGTCATTGCAAAATAACCTGCAGTCCAAGTTGTGTCCTCTGACACAGCGGCCCGCATTCGAGTCCCAGCTGTTCCTGGTGTGATCTTGGGCACGTTTCTCAAATTCTCTAAGCCTAAAAGGCACCCTGGCTCTGAGAGTTGATGTATGTTTGTTAATCATCCATTCATGCATCCAACCTGTGAGGGGTGTCTTGTAGGGTCCTGCCACCAAAGAGCTTGCCACCTAATGAAAGATTAGAGGTAGAAACCAGCAGTGTGGTAAGTGATCTGATAACACAGAATAGGTGGGAGCAGAGATGGAGGTAGGAGATGCGAATGTGGCTGGGTGTTGGTCTGGGAAGGCTTCCTGCAGGAGGTGACCCTTGAACTGAGTTTTGAGGGATGACTAGAAGTTCGCTGGGTGAAGTGGGAGGAGGCATGCCTGGCAGAAGGAAGAGCTTGCAGGAACAAGAGAACACCACTGTGTAGCTGCAGGTTATTGAGAGTGTTAGGTGTATTGGGCAAAAGACAAAAGCTTGGACGCGAGCTGTGACCATATCAGCAGAGAGCAAAGCTGAGGAGGTGAACAATTTTCTTGTGGCCTTCCTTGAGGCATGAAATCGCCGGTTTCTCACAACTGTTAGAGGTTCTGAAGTTTGCAGGTGGGCAGTTTACCTTTTTATTGATTAATTTTTAAGTAATTTAGAGCAAATGCTTGAGTCTCCCTATAATAATATCTGTCTCCCATACTCATATTCCAGTATACTTTCCTGACTAGAAAAGGGCAGAAATTTGTTAGCACCTTCAGAGTTGTACTTAGCTCTGGGCACGCACAGCCAGGAGTCTGAATGGAGCCTCACGGAGCAGTGCCCCGTGGTGTGGGCTAAGGGAACGGTGGTGAAGTGGGGTAGGGGCTGCAGGTGAGGTGTGGAGGGAGTGGAGATGGATCGATGGAGTCAAGGAGGGCAAGTGGGGTGGTCCTTAGCCCTGTCTTCCTGATGCCTCAGCTCCTACCTCACCCTCACCATGGACACCTCCAGAAACATTCCTTTCTTCAGCAGAGGTTTCCTGAGTGCCTGGATGTGGCTGCAGGAGTGGGGAGTGCAGCGGGGAGCAACGCAGAGGGCCCGTCTTTGTAGAGCCTGGGACACAGTCTCATGACATGGTCTCTGCTCCCACCAGGGAGAAACCAGCCGCCTCATCCCTGTCCTGTACCAGCCTCGCTCAGTGTGGGCCCCTGCAGTTGTCCCTCTTGAGGTTTTTGTTTGTTGGTTTTGGTGTTTTTGGTCTTACCCACCTGTATGCTTCTGGTCTTTCAAAATCCTGATTACATCATGTAGCCTGTTGTTCACCCCCTCGGTTTCATGTTATCTGCACATTTCATAAATGAACGATCCAGATCCTTCTCTGCAGCCTCTCCTGATCATGTCTGATATCTAAAAAAGGACAGTGAGGTTGGTCTGGTGTGACTTGTTCCTGACTGAGCCCATGCTGCCTTCCGGAGACCCTATTTCCCATTCTAAATGCTCATAAACCATCTGTCTGCTAATTGCATCCAGAATTTTGTCCAGGTTTGATCTCAAGCTCACCTTTTGTGTTTCATAGAATTTGCCATTATCCCTGTTAGAACAAAAACCAAGAGACTTGACCCTTCATAAGCCTGCAAGTGTTCTGTGATATAATTCTCTGTGGCAGATGACCAGCACTGGACTGGTTCTGTTTGCCAGTGTGTTTGGTCAGCACTTGGATATCTGTCCTTATCAGCATGAGGCCATCCTTTCATCTGTGGTGCATATTTTTTCTGTGAGCTCACCAGCATGCTCAAGAAACCTGCTCTTCACTCCCATTGGGGTCATCTGCGATTGTGTTGTTTACATTTCTTGGGTTGTCTACTCCCCATTTTGAAAACCCCTAGACATTGAGTTGCATCTGGTCTCAATCTTTTGAATTGAACTTACTAAGACTTAGTAGTAGACCATGGTACTACTTCCTTCACTGACTGGCCTAGAATTCCCAGATTTCTGCTTCCACAAGTTGGTTTTGCTTCATTGGTTAGAATTAAGTGTTTGTGTTAGCAGTTTCTTCATTGCTGCTTCTACTTGCCGAGAGGAAGTTATCTACAAAGCAAATCTAGGTTTCCTCAGTGCTGATTGTGTTTTTCTGCTCTCCGGGATCAGCTGTGAGTTCCTGTGGCTGGAACTCTATGCCCACAGTGATGTCGGGTCTGCATGTGGAGGTCTGTAAGGGTCAGAGGCATAGTCTCCCAGCTTGAGGGGGCTGCTCTGTCTCAGCGATTCCCCTCCTCACCAAGGCTTGTCAGAGATGCCCACAAGCTCACACCCACCTTCTTAAGGACTTTCATCAGGGCTGCCGGGCTCCTTCTCCATCCTTCTGTCATTGACGTGTCACTTGTCCTTAACAGCATCCAGTTTTGGGAATTCTGTACCTAAGGTAACATTTTTTTTTTCTAGCGTATCATATTCTCATTGGATTGTGAATTAGAGAATATTCTTAAAAGGGTTTTGTTCCTCTTTCTTACTATGTAAATTGAGTGAGAGTACTGTGAAATTGGGGCCCTAGTGTGGTTCAGACAAGGCCAGTCCCAGCCTGGTCATTAAGCTAACCTCAGTTTTCCATACGTGGTAATAGCTACTGTGTAAGGAGAACCATCAGCTAGGGCTTCACAGAGAATATTTTAGTTGATCCTCATAGCTGCCCCATTTTATGCACTTAGAACTTGAGGTTTGTTTAATTTGTTGACAGTCTCATAGTTGGTATGTGGTAGAGCTAGGACTCAGCCCACACAGTCTTTCTTTAAACAGCTTTATTGAGATAAAATTCACATATCATACAATTTACCCATTTAAAGTGTACAACTCAGTGGTCTTTGGCATGTTAAATTATTCATTTTTTT